AAACCAGGACTATAGGGCGATTTTCAAACTTGAAAAAATCATAACTAAATCATCCTAATTCAGAAAAATACATATAATATATCAAAATTTGCAGAACAAAAAGATTGATCCGCTGAAACTGATTCAAGAAATATAGAGTGTTACTAAATAATTATGCAATAATATTAGTGTTACTAAATAAGTATCTCAATTTTTTTGAATTTTGGTCAAATCTGGTCAAACTATGGTCAAACTATGGTCAAACTACTTATTCAAGAAATATTAGTGTTACTACATAATTTTTTTTTTAGAATAATAGTTTCAAACTCAAACAGTGAAACGTGTGACTTCATGCTCAAGCTAAACTCCTGATGGTTAATAGGATTCACATCTTACTATTGTCAGGAAAACAACAAGTGCAGACTTGGAAACGAGGGAGAATAGAACCCAGAAGTTAAGCGTGCTCAGGCTGAAGTAATCAAATTTTTTTTCCAAAATTTTCAAAAAAAAATTCAAAAAAAAAAACCTTTAGTACCGGTTGGTAACACCAACCGGTACTAAAGGTGCCCTGTACCACGGCGCGAGCTCACGCCACGTGGTGGGCCTTTAGTGGCGGTTCGTGCCGAACTGGTACTAAAGGGGGGAGGCCTTTAGTCTCCACTCTTTAGTGCCGGTTGCAGAACCGGCACTAAAGGCCCTTATGAACCGGTATTAAAGCTCCGTTTTCTACTAGTGACCACCCGTCTCATGTCATCGTCGCCGCGGAAGCACCTCCTCTACAGCTCCAACTTCAGGAAGACAAATGAGGCCCGGCAACCCCTCAAACATGCCGGATGAGACCGACTACCAAAGCTCAGCAGCCGCCTAACTTCGCTCGAAGCCGCCATCGTTGCCACACTAGAAGTCGCGCAACATCCACATTGCCGGACAGACAGCCGCCGACCGCAATGCCGCGAGCGTCCAACCCAAGGAAAGTGCAAACGGGATCCAATGCTTTTCAAGGCGACGCCCCAAAGGAGGAAGCGACGATGCCGACGCCGTCGCCCGACCCGACTGGGCCTTAGGCTTTCACCCGAAGAGCTGGAACAAAGGATGTGCAGGGGGTGGACTCCGCAGCGGCGCCCCCAAGGAGGTGACCCGACGTCCGCGGACGCCGACACCGTCGGCCGGTAGAAACCCGGCAAGCCTTCGCCCGGAGCACCGCCCAACACCACACCCTCACGCACTGCACCTTCCGCTGACCCGCACACCTCCCACGAAGCCATCGCGCCATCACCAAGCAGAAGCCACCACCACACCATCCATCCGTCACTTGTCTCACCGACCAGAGACACGAGCAGGGCAGACAGCACACCTCGACGATGTCTTCAAGAAGAGCGCGGCACCCGAGGGCATCGGCCCGGGCCAGAAGCCCAAGGCAGAGCTTTTGCCCGGCGCTGCCACACTGTCTACCGAGCCCAAGCCCGGTCAGACCACCAAACAGCCTCTCGCCGTAACGAAGCAGCCAGATCCGGAGAACCCATGACCGGCCAGAGCCAGCCACGCACGCCCGAAGCTGCCGCCCCCCGCCATCCGCCGGATCCACAGCGCCAGGAGCTGCCGGAGCACCACCAAGACGCTGCCGGGTCGAGCACCACCATCCCGCGAGGACCGCGGCACCGCTCATCGCCACGCCAGATCCGCGCTTGGCCGCGCCCACCCACCGCCGGAGCCGCGCCAGCCCGCGCCGGAGCGAATCCACCGCCGCGCCGTGACACCCACAGACCGCCGGAGCCACACCCGCCCGCTCCGGAGCCGCGCCCGCGCGCCCGACCTAGTTTGCCGCGCCCGCACGCCAGATGCGCCCTCGTGCCTCGCAGAGAGATGCCCCGCCGCCACCCTCCCTGGAGCCAGACCAGGCTTCGCCGGCGGTCTCCTCAGGCGGCGGCGAGGTGGGGGGTGGAGGGAGGAGGGGAGGTGGCGGCGCCGGAGGGGTTCCCCCGTGTCGCCAGAGAGAGGCGACGCGGGGGTGGGCGGCTTCGATGTGCGAATTAGCTTCTCCCTCCGATTGCAGATAATTATTATATTTGGTTTCAGAATCACGGGAGGTTGAATAAGGAGAATCCAGGAACAATTTACTCAGATGGCACAAAATGAGATCTCTGGAAGAGTCGACAGGAATCACTTGTTCGTCTTCTCGGAAAAATGTATGCTGAATAAAACTCTCTTTCAGGCTGTGAGGAAGAACCACCGGCAGGTCCTCATCAAATTTGAAGTTTTTTAGGGTATCATCAAACTCAAAGTTGACTACCAAATTTCTTTTTTGGTCACAGTGCAACAGCTGGCCATAACAGCTTACAAGAACGTCTCCCTCCTCTGAAACAACCTTCGCGCACCAATCCTCCTGATCATTGAAACGCCTGGTACCCATCACTGGCAGCTTGAACCAGTACTGAAGCGCCCAAACATCGTGATGATGGTCCTGAAGTGTGAAAATGCTCGTCCCTCCATTGCCTCCGGCTCTGAACCCAGCAAACTTGTAGAGATATGAAAGACACAAGCCTTCCTTTGGTTTAAAGGCACCAAACGTGAGGACGATAAAGAACCTGCTAGTATTGCCTAGTCTCCGACCCACTTGCCAGTAGAAGGTGGCCATTGCTGACCTCTTCCACTCAGAGCAAAGTTTGAACTGATGCGTAGGAAGGTTAGGATAGGATGAAATAAATTTGTAACTCATCTTTAGATGAGGAAGTGCCACTTCATAGACTAGAAACCACACACATGTTTGGGTGCCAAGAAGTTATTGTTACAAACATTATCAAGGATATTGCCTTCACTGCTAATTTCCCAATATCTCTCAGTCCTAGAGTTACATATTATTTTTCATGAAAAGAAAGGTTTATTCTGTGCTTCCCGCCAATATTGGTTATTTGCCTTGTGGTGGTGTTTCAGAATGATGATCCTTATAAGGAGGGGCGAGCATCTTCACACTTCAGGACCATCTCGGTAGATGATGGTGTGTGTGCGAGGTATGGCTAGTGGTTTTATGAATTTCTAAAAATATAAAAATAAAATAAAATTCATAACTTTTCATAATTCGTAGAAAATTCTAAAATTCAAAAGATTTCTCAAAAATTGACGAACATCTTTTTATAAAATTGTGCACATTTTTAGTTAATTGCTTTTGAATTCATGAACATTTCTTAGATTCTGATACATTTTTTAAGGCATATAATTTTTTAGAATTCTTGAAGAATTTTTAATGCTTTTATAGGCAGTTTTCGAAAAACAATATGATTCCATAACCGGTAAGCCCAACGCATCCTGTAGCCCTTCTATCCCATCCAAAATAATCGATCGAACCAAACTTAATTCAGCAAAAAATTTCTGTACTTTTCAATTCATATATCACTAGATTGTGTATGAAGAACTTGGGAATAACAATAGTTGGATGAAGCCAATCGGATGGTAGAAACATGTCAAACCCGAGTGTTGTTGACCATTAGATCTAGTTCGTTCCTTTATTAGATTCTGCCATGTCCATGTGTACTACCGAGAAGATTCTGTGGTTGGGCATAAGCCATATAGACATCTTGCAACAAACTTAAAACACACTTCTACTTTATTCTAGAATCTGCCACACTCATATCTCCTAATTTCTTTTTGTATCCAAACTATCATTCATTCCTACTTCGTACTGAAAGCTATGTACCTTCATAAATCATATTTATGTGCGCAGATACAGTAAGAGCTTTGAGACAGCCAAAAAGGACACCTAGAAGAACACGTTCGATATATTTTACGTGATTTTTGCATCTTATAATTCATGCATATGCCTCACAATTCCATCCGCATGTTATAATTAATACAGTAATTATTTGTCTATATTTTGTTGTAGTTTGATTATCCCAGCTCTCACGTGCTATGCACGTATAACTTGCTAGTATTCATCAGTTCTTCTCCATGAGCAATATTACCACAATACCATCGTCGGGAGACATGTTGACGATGGTGTGTCCTAAGATCTAGTTCTTCTGCTCTGGAATTCTCTTTCTGACGATGGTGTGTCCTAATATTTTGCTGAATTAATTAAATCTTGACCCAAAAAGGAGTAATACCAACAAGAAATTAAACATAAGCTTTGTTCTGCTCTTTTAGTTGGATTTTACTTTCGTTGCCTTCAGCATACTAAAATATACGTCTTCCAGTTAGATTGGAATTTCCCAAGTCCATCTGATATTTCTTTGACATTCCATTCCATTTCTTGGTTTTAACTTTATTTTTTTATTGATTTTCATTTTTCCTTCTTCTTTTTTATTTTTATTTTTTATGTTTTTAAATTCCTGAACATTGTTAAATATTGTGAACCTTTTGAGATTTATGAACTTTATTAAAATTCATGAAATTTTCATATTTTGTGAATATAATATATATTCCCCAAAAATTTCAAATTCGTGATTTTTTTAAATCGCTTCATTTCAAATCAGTGAGAACCTTTCCAAATTCATGAAGTTTTTACAAATATGCGAACTTTTTCCCAATCCGTCAACTTGTTTGAAATTCATCAAATTTTCCTAAATCCATGAAGTTTTCTTCAAAATTCATGATTTGTTTTTCATATCCATGAACATTTTTGAATTCATGAACCATTTTTCAATACACAAATATCTTTTTGAAATACATGTATATTTCTTTGTTTCTAAGATCCTTGAACTTTTTTAAAAAATTGCGAATAAATACTAAAACTTGCCGGTTTTCTACCTGGAAAATAGGCCAACCGTTGACAATAACAAATGAAAAATAATAATAAGTGAGTGAGTGAGCGAGGGAGCGAGTGAGCCTGATGAAGGGAGCGATCGGGAAGATTAGTGGGCAGGCCAATTCCAGTGACCCATGAGCGCTAGTTCTTAAATAGGCGCCAATTAGGAGGTCTCACCTGAATGAGTCAAGCCATCTCTCTTTCTCCTCTTTTTATTTTCTCTCACCCACCTAGGCCTTGACATATACTCCCTCTGTGAAAAACTATAGGACTTTTTAGATCACTAGTTTGGTGATCTAAACGTTTTATATTTCTTTACAGAAGGAGTAGAAATAAAAACACATCGAGGAAGATTGCAGAAGGCGTTGGAACCCGATTGATGAAGCTTGGAAGCTGGAGGCGGCAAGGCGATGGGGAATTGGGGGTGCAAAATGGAGAAACCAAGATGATTGGTGAGACAGCAGAAAGAAGTGGATCGTGGAGCCCATGGGACATATGATGAGCTCATGTTTTGAAACGCCAGAGGACAGCAATTGGACAGAACAAGCGGCAGGAGGACGGCTGTTGGAGACAAGCAGCGGCGGATAGAAAGTCGTGAGGGTTTTTTCCGCCTAAAATATTCGGGCGCTGATAGGCGCCGGTGCGCCGGCCCAAATTAGGGCCGGTCGGCTGCCAAGCATTCGATACAAGCTTCCCCAACCGTCTGATTGCTTTGTTACAAAAGTCAAACACGCACAGGAAACACCGAAAAAAAGTTACGTGCGCACATGCCAAATCCTGTGCGCTCGCCGGTCGGTGTGTACGTGGCTTGTAGTATGATTTTTTTTGATATAAATGAGACATGTATTACTATGCAAAAACTAGTAGAAAATTTCAAAACATTCCGAATTTTTGTGTGCAAGCATTGACAAATGTTTTGTGTGTTTGCAAAAATTTGTCATAATTTGACATTTCTGGAAGTCGTGGTAAAAAAATAAACAAAATCAATGCTATAAAAATGGTATATTTGAAGGCATTTGTCAAGATGAAAATCAGTTTTTTTTTTCTCTTTTTTTTCAGAATTTACTACTCATCGCAAGCTCAAATGAGCTCGGGAGTAGAAGGGGACTTTCACCTCTAGTCATGTTTTCTTTCTCCATCCCACTGAAAACACATTAATGTCAGGACACCACACGTTGCTCGACTGAAGGACGGAGCTCCGCCGTGGGCAAGTGACATTACAATTATACTTACTAATGACTCAATGAGCCATCACTCACTTTGGAACTGCCATGAGTTACCCTTCCATGCCCTCTAATTCTGCTACTAGTTTCTTTTCATTTCTCAGTATCCTCGCATGTTACATATAGTACTGAGTATACATATCTATACAATTATTCCTCAAATGTTTCGCCTGCTATCACCTTATTTACACCACCCACTCGACTGACAAAGTGATGTTTACAATATGTACTCTTTTTTCTCACTTCTTTGCATCATCTTATATACACGACCAAAGTGTGAAACAGCAGTGTGGACAACTTAGTGTGCGCCTCTAATGACTATTTTGTGCGGGAATGCATGTAACTCTTATTGTTGTCTTGGGGATTGGAGGTGTTGGGAAGAACATGTCCACCCTGAAAAGCCATCCATGTTTGGCTCTTAGAGTTGAAGTGTGTCATGGTGTTCTCAGTCTCTCAATCATTTTGCCTAGCTTCACAAAGTTGTGGCCACAAAATGTACACCCACAGGATCAACCATTCTAAGAGAATCTTACCACAACTTGGGATTCACTTGTCAGTACGCGCTCTTTGGTTCGCACTGACCGAAGTCAGCCATAGTGTTATGATAAACCGTACTCCCACTGGTATGTGTTGCTTCATGGCAGTGAAGTTCAATTTTCTCGACTTTCCTATGTTGTATTGTTGTGGCAAAGTTAGCTCCCAGCACCTGATTATAAGCCTCAGGCTGGCATCATTACAATGTTTGACAAGAGATGATGATTTGTTTACTAAAATCCATTAGAAGTTGCATATATGTGGCGTCGTGGTGATATGTAAAGCTAGAAGTTTGGATTTTTTTTTCTTTCATCAATGTTGCTGCTCTGTTACTAATGTTTTTAGACTTCAGAAACCATACCTATATGCATACAAGTTATGACAATGGTACCTGTCGGTGGGAAACGACACCTATGGGATCACAAAAATCCCTACTACGGTTGCGGGGCGCGGGGTTGTGAGAAGAACGGGACCAGTAACCAGCACAAGGATCGTTTACCCAGGTTCAGGCCGCGGGGATGCGTAAAACCCTAGTCCTGCTTTGTGGATGTATTGCGTGTTCTTGAGTTCTTGAACTAGCTACGGGCGCTTTGTGGTTCTAAAGAGCCGAGTCCTTTTCCAGTACGCCATGGGGCCTCATTTTATAGGCGAAAGGGGCTGCCACAGTGGCACACAGGAGGTGGAAAGGCCTACAGTGTTGCGAGCTTATTACTCGTGTTATAGGACAAGACACATTTAATGCGCGGCTTAGGTGTCCCCTCACTTTATCGGGGACGGGAGTGAGGCCCGTCCCGTCCGTCGCCGCTCCTCCTCTCTTCGGCACGCGCCCTGGCCAGTGATGCATGCGGTGCCATGTAGGCAGGCAAGCAACTGAGGTGGCGCGGTGGTGGAGCCTCCATGAAGATCTGCATGCCGCCACGCAGGTGTGTGCTGAGTTGGCCTGGAAGCCGCATGTTGCTACGCAGGTTCCTGCCCAGCTGGTTGGGCTGGCAGCTGTATGTGAACGGTGCGGGCCTGGCAGGGTCTTGCCGGGTGGTCCGGCATGGGTCTTGTCATGGCGCGCTGTCATCCCCGGCAAGGATCTTGCCGGGGGCCTTGTGGATTTTTCTTGGTAAGGATCTTGGCGAGGATTGTTGCCCTCCAATCCTCATCTGATCTTGAGTATCTTTTGTCTTCACAAAGATCTGCATGCCACCATGAAGGTACCTCCCGAGCCCTGGCCCAACGTAGTTGATGGTGTTGGAGACCGTGGGTTCGAGGGTGGCTCACTCCGCTGATGTGGGCGAGCAGCCCCGGCAAGGGCCTTGCCGGGGCTGCCGAGGCTGTCCCCTTCAAGGGTCTTGCCAGGGGAACCTGCTCCGTCCATCTGCTCTCTGTGGCCTTGGTCCTTGATGTCGCCTTGTTTGTCTCGTGCTCTCGGCTTCTCTCCAGCTCCCCTCCTTTGCCCTGCTATGTGCGGCCATGGCGCGTGGCGGCTCCGACTACCCGTGCACAAGTAAAGGGGTCAAAAGTAGAACCCCTACTTTGACTAGGACACGCACAAGTACTGAATCGGACACAAACTTACGTGACTATTCCTAAGACAACTCCAACTACTATTACCCAGCAGCCTAGTCGCCGGCCACCTTGATCACGATTAACCTAAACTAACTGATGCTGTTTGGATTACCCAACAACACTGCTAATAGTAATAAATATCTGAAAAAGCATGAGGCATCAACTGAACACAGGAGACTCACACATGAAGTTAATCCACCAGAGTTGTCAGTGAACAAGCTGATTTCAGCATAGCGTCAGCACTAAACAGTAACATAGTTGATACTAGTTTTGAAATTCTGACTGCGCAAAAATAATAGGATATATTTCTGCTTAACGAAGAAGTGCCTCTAATCGAACCATCTTCGCTTAATGAAGAAACCCATCACAAAGGAGGTATCCCATGATGTGCGCTGGACCGAAGCGACATGATGATGCCTTGATGGCAGAGGCACCACACAGGCAGCGACAAACCAGACACTGAGGAATGCCAATATACTGATTGATTAACTTCAAATCATAACAATGGACTGATGGTCAATAAGCCACGGCGACTACGTCCAGAGCGTGTGCGTGCGCGAGCTGGGCGTGTCGGGTGTAGTCTGTGGTGGCGTGAGTCATAAACTAGGCATAGTCTGACCATTGTATGGCCATGGTCCGACTTGTGTGTAGTCTGGCCATGGTCTGGGGTGTGTCTGACTAGTGTCCAGGCTGCGTGCGTGTGTGCGTGCGTAGCTCCGGGGTGTGCGTGCGTGTGCGCATCCATCGGGCTGGAGTAGGACTAGGTCCAGGTGGTTAAGGGATCGCGAGGCGGGCGTGATCGCTGCGGGCTCGCCGCGAGCCGTGCGCATTCGTGCGCGAGGTGGCCGCGAGCGGAGCGGGCCGATCGGGGCGCCAGCAAGGGTGGGAGCGCGTGGGTCGTGCCCAGCGCAGGCCCAGTTATAAAAGCCTCGAGTCATCGTTGTAATCGTGGCCTATGGAGTCGAGTATGAGCTCGGGAAAATATCGCCATTCGTGTGGCGGGGCGTACGTGCGCCGGAAACTCCACCGTGTCCTCTGCGTATTCCTTTTCTTCTTCTTCTTCGGTCGTGTGAGTGCAGCAAGAGAGAGGAAGAGTCAAGTGAGAGACAGAGAGAGAGAGCTAGGGCAAGGGGTAGACACCAACATGGACGTCATTATCTTTAGTGCTGTTCTCGCTCGATAACTCCCAATGGTCATGATCTTTGCCAGAAGCGGCGACGATGTATGAGGTTTTGCTTTGCGAGGTGAGGTCGTCGTGTTGGACGTCCTCTCCCTGTCAACATGTATGTCTGCCAACTACGCGACATCGTCTGATTTAGGGCAGGGGGCCTTCTTTGGTGCCAAAGATGGATGTTGGGACATAAGTGATTGGCCTCATGGCCTCATGGGAGTGAAGGAGTATGGTCTTCCAATCGCAGCCGACTGCTTCCTAGTATTAGTCGTATCGATGGCATGACCTGGGATTCGTTGAGGGCTTCAATGCTCAAGCTTGCTCTTGCTGCTTTCAGAGCCTGCTAGTTGTTCTTTAGCATTTTGTATTATTTTCATTTTTCTACTGTGATGTTTGATGTAATGCATGATTGTTGCTTTACATATAACGCAGGGCAAAACCCTTTTTCAGTATTCAACAAGTCCATGCACACAACCTACTATATTAGTCCTTCCTTAAAACCAAGAGCTTGTATTATACTGTCTTATTGCGGAAGCCCGGGACTTGGAGCAGCCATGTACGATTAATAACATAATCATATCACCTTGCTTGCGCAATGAGATATTTGATAATCCTAAGAGCAACTCAATGCAATTGCGTGCCATTTCCTGTCGAACAAGCATAGGCATAATCAGATCATCCCCATCTTAAGCACTCAGAATGTAAATTCCAAGGTGGACACAATAGTTTTATGGTTCATCCTCCGAAAAAAGAAGGATGCGAGAGCATACCACACAAGCTGCTCGATTCAAGAATGGAGAACAATAAGACTTACCAATTAGTCGTCACTAGCTTTGCAACGGCCATGAGTTACCTTTTTGCATTCTCTTTTTTTTATCCTTGTTGCTTATCATTTCTTAGTATCATGACATGTTACATATAGTACTGACTATAGATATGTATACAATTATTGCTCTCATATTTCACCTACTATCACCTTAATTTACACCACCCACTTCTTGTCTGACAAAGAGATCCTTAATT